GGAGAAATATTTTTACCCACAATTTTTGCTTATCAGAATATGTTTATGTATGCATGTTAGTTACTTAATATTGTGCTTTACATACATATGTATATGTATATGTGTATGAAATATTACTTCCAGGGTATTAGGCATATATAAAAATAATTCACACACCTTCTAATGTTGTTGAATATATGAGAAGAAAGGTATGAAAGCTAAACGCCAAAATAAGAGCACTCTCTTATAAATAAACATATGTGTGACTGCATCTAACGGCACTTGCAGCATAATTCTTGATAGCAGCAGAAAAATGTTAGAATATGACTATGGTAGTGGTTGTGTTGATGATACACCGGTGTGCCATGAAATGTAGAGGCGAGCACCAACATTATCAACCACGAAAATGTCATAAACTCCATGCTTATCAGAAATTATACATATGTTATATATATGTATATATGTATATATATACAAAAATATATTGTATATGCATATACAGTATGTAAGCAAATATCCACTTATGCGAAAGAGCTTTCTTCATAAATAAATACATATGTGCGCTGAAATATGTTGATTGCTGGCGGATGTAGTGAGCCGATGATAAGCTTTATGAGTAATTGCAGCTTTTAATGAGGACTTTTATGAAAGTCGAAATTCCATAAGTAGGAAAAATGAAATTTTTACTGAGTAGATGTTTATGAAATATGAAAATTGGTAGATATTATGTGGTTGAATTTTACTAAACATAGGAATTTAGTAAATTAATGTTATGGTTTTCTAGTAAAGTGGAAGTTTAAAAGCTATATTCATATGTTGAAGAGAAAAATTTGCCAGGCAAAATTATAATCGGTGATTTATGTTTTTTTAAGTCGGTGACACATAAGTTTTGTTGGAAATCTCATAAAATTGTTTAAGTTTATTCACAAATATGTAAGCAACTACAAAATAAGATTGGAAATAAATAAGTTTCAAAATATTTTAATATGCAAATATTTTTTTGTTATTAAGGAAATTAAAAGTAGTYGTTGTCACGGTTTTGTAGACCCCGTTAGGGTGATAAGGYTCAGTTATCCAAAGGTAAGAACCATAATTCTACGTTACCGGACAAGGAGTGTACTTTCGGAGATTTAACTCCGTTTGCGAAATTAAAGGAGCTTATCTTCGCTAAATTTAAGGCTTGGTGAGATTGTCACATGGACGTAATTTGTGTTATTTTCTCCATATATAATATAGGCGATTAATTTAAATTTTTATTTAAAAATGTTAAAAATTTAACTTTCAACTCATTTACTCGTATATAAAAAGTATACTTTCAGTTTTATAATAAATTTGTTYTTCGGAAACTATGGGTGCTTGTCTTTGCTAATGCTAATTTTGAGGTTTAAAACTTTGCTTTATTTTCTTAAAACTAA